CTAATTTCGTTTAACCAATTATTGCACACTTTCTGTAAATCATATKAACTTCATTTCACTTCTCAAATATCACTGTGTTTGTCCTCTATATGATATATTTAACTGATTTTTTTGATCCAAACAATCAATGATTTATAAAGGAAAATCAGGAAAATRAACAAGGCTGCCCAAACCTTTTCATATAACAGTATATGTTGATGACGTCAGTTTCAGCCTCCTGAGCACATTCTGTAGTCATTCAGGACTCTACGTTCACACTGCGATGTGTAGATATTTTAGTTACATGCTGGGCTTTTCTACTCTAAGTTTGCTGTTTGCAAATTGTGTCAAAATGTCTGAATGCAATAAAAACAATAGTATTTCCATTTTTAGGGTGTGGCAGATGAATTTAATCGACTTAAGGAACTTAAAAAGGTGAGTGGAATTACATGAAACAATTTAATGTGAACTGAATGCAAAGTGATTTTTTTTTATTTTCATGTAAAAAATAAAAATTAACTGCTATAAAAAAGCTATCCATATCCACACCTTCCTAAAATAATCGCCAAAGTCATTTTTTACAATTTTTTTAGGAAACAAAACCTTTAGCTGAGCTGTGTGTGACAGGTCCAGAGTTTGTGGGTGTGTTTGTTGGTCAGGAGCACCGCAGAGGCCCAGTGGTCCTCAGCTGTGGCAGCGCCGAGGAGCTGGACCAGAACCAGAACAGGACCCGAGCAGCTCAGTTCCTTCTGCGTGTTATTTGGTTTAAAATGATGTTTTTTGTCTGAAGCCAGTTTTAAAAGGAGCTCAAAGAGCAGCTGGTTTGATCCAGGTCCCAAGGATGAACCTGAGCTGGTCGCTTCTTTTTTTCTGTCCAACGTTTACAAAAATTTAAATTAKATTTAAAAAAATTTAAAACGACTTTACTTCACTCAACTTACCACTGATGTTGAGTGGGAAAAAAACACTATCCAGCCATCGTTATTGTAGTTTATATACTTTATATGAGCTGTTGGAGGTCTGAGGGAGGATTCATGATCATTTATGGCCCATCTTCATCTTCATCTTCATCTTCATCTTCAGCCTGTTTATACTCAGTTAGGAAAAGATGTGCTAAAATTGTGCAATCATCAACCCACTGTCTCACGTCTTATTAAAGTATCCAGACTTATGTCTGAAGACTTAATAAATAAACCAGGTGAGGCGGAGAAAAAAATTAACAAMGCTTCACAAGATGACTCTGTGGCATCACACTCACACAGAGACATTTTCATCTTTACYCACAGAGCAGGTCGACATCACGGAGGTCTTATTTAATCTAAAATAAATAAAAGATTCAGTCTGATCATCATCTCAGATCTAGACACCGTACTGAAAGCATCTCCAGGAGCTGACAGCACACTGAGGACAGGAGGACTGGAGCGTCTGTGAGGAGCATCTGAACCAGAGGTGCAGTGGGAGTGCACGCTGCAGGATTTCCTCCTGCTAAAGCTACAGATTTGGGATTTGGAAATAAAGTCTTGCTGACTTCTGATCACTTTGACTGGAGAAATGTTTTCTGATTTTAAAACTGTGGCTGAAGTGGTGCTTGTTATTCCAACAGTGAGAGCGCGGGTTAACTTCAGAACCACTGATGTAGACTCACTGTGTGA